AGCCTGCTCCTGCCACCTGCCAGTCCCCCAAGATGACCACGTTCCAGGACAGCGAGCTCAGTGACGAGCTGCAGGCAGCCATGACTGGCCCAGCTGAGGGGGGTGCTGCTGCCACCACCGAGAAGCCCTCCAACCACCTGCCACCCACCCCGAAGGCTACCGTGCGGCAGGAGCCCAGCCTGGGTGGACTGGCACGGCACATGAGCAGCTCTCAGGAGCTGCTGGGGGACGGGCTGCCTAGGCCCGGCAGCCCCATGTCAAGAAGCCAGGAGTACCTGCTAGATGAAGGGCTGTCCCCTGGAACTCCTCCCAAGGAGGCCCGGGCTGGCCGCCATGGTCACAGTGTCAAGAGGGCCAGTGTGCCCCCAGTGCCTGGCAAGCCACGGCAGATCCTCCCACCAGGTGCCAGCCACCTCACACCCCCCCAGACACCCACCAAAGCCCAGCCAGGCTCCCCCCAGGTCCCCGGGGGACCTCATGGTTCAGCCCCAGCCACCGCCAAGGTGAAGCCCACTCCACAGCTGCTGCCACCGACGGAGCGACCCATGTCACCCCGCTCCCTGCCTCAGTCGCCCACACACCGAGGCTTTGCCTACGTGCTGCCCCAGCCTGTGGAGGGCGAGGCAGGGCCAGCTGCTCCAGGGCCTGCACCTCCGCCCGTGGTGGCAGCTGTGCCCACACTCTGCCTGCCCCCTGAGGCTGATGCAGAGCCAGGGCGGCCCAAGAAGCGTGCCCACAGCCTGAATCGCTATGCAGCATCTGACAGTGAGCCCGAGCGGGATGAGCTGCTGGTGCCCACCGCTGCAGGGCCTTATGCCACGGTCCAGCGGCGCGTGGGCCGCAGTCACTCGGTGAGGGCACCCACCAGTGCCGACAAGAACGTCAACCGCAGCCAGTCCTTTGCCGTACGGCCCCGCAAGAAGGGCCCCCCCCCACCCCCACCGAAGCGGTCCAGCTCAGCCATGGCGAGCGCCAACCTGGCCGATGAGCCAGTGCTGGATGCTGAGACTGAGGATGGCCGGCTGGGGGTCCGGGCACAGCGCCGGCGGGCTAGTGACCTGGCGGGGAGCGTGGACACAGGCAGCGCTGGCAGCGTGAAGAGCATTGCAGCCATGCTGGAGCTGTCGTCCATTGGGGGTGGGGGCCGGGCTGCCCGCAGGCCTCCCGAGGGCCACCCCACGCCTCACCCTGCCAGTCCAGAACCAGGCCGGGTGGCCACAGTGCTGGCCTCAGTGAAGCACAAAGAGGCCATCGGGCCTGATGGTGAGGTGGTGAACCGGCGCCGCACACTCAGTGGGCCCGTTACTGGACTTCTGGCCACTGCCCGCCGGGGGCCTGGGGAGCCAGCAGATCAAGGCCTTCCTGTGGAGGACAGCACTGTCCGGCAGCGACCTCGAGGCCCAGCCAAGGGTGAGGTGAATGTCGAGGGTCCACCCCTGGCCAGGGTGGAGGCCAGTGCCACGCTCAAGAGGCGCATCCGGGCCAAGCAGAGCCAGCAGGAGAATGTCAAGTTCATCTTGACTGAGTCTGACACAGTCAAGCGCAGGCCCAAGGCCAAGGAACGAGAGGCTGGGCTGGAGCCACCCCCGCCACTGTCTGTGTTCCAGAATGGCACGAGCACTGTGCGCCGCCGACCAGCCTCGGAGCAGGCCGGGCCCCCTGAGCTGCCCCCACCACCCCCGCCCGCCGAACCCCCGCCCACTGACCAGGTGCACCTGCCCCCCCTGCCCCCACCCGATGGCGATGCCCGGAAGCCAGCCAAGCCGCCCATCTCTCCCAAGCCTGTCCTGGCTCAGCCCATGCCCAAGATCCAAGGCTCACCAACACCTGCCTCCAAGAAGGTGCCGCTGCCAGGCCCGGGCAGCCCAGGTAGGTGCACGGAGCTGGCTAGGGTAGGGAAAGAAGGGGAAGCAGGACCCCGCCCCACCGCTTTTCTCCTTTGTCTGAGGAGTTTTCTTTCTGTATTTGATGAAACCCGGGTGGGGTGGGAGTGTCTGTAGACCCTCTCATCCATCCACCATAGGACAACTCTGTGCCAGCCCAGGCCTGGGAGCCAGGTGGACTCGGTCCTAACCCTTGCTCAGTAAAGGAGGCTTACAGAAGCCTAGGAATAGTGGCACCTGTGCAGGGAGGACCCTGACCTGACGCAGGAGGCAGGGAGGAGGCTTCCAGGCAAAAGATCACAGGCGAAAAGGCCTCGAGATATTCGAGCAATTGAAAGGCCAATGTGGCCGCAGCAGGCTGCACCCAGAGTAGGAGCGGGGCAGGGCCGGGGACAGTGTCCTGAGCAGGTCTGCACGTGGAGGCGCGCCCCCTGGCGGCTGCGGGGGGCTGGCGCGGCTGGGCTGGTGCCTGCTCCGGTGCCAGCGAGGTCCTCCCCGCAGAGGTGAAGCGCGCCCACGGCACGCCGCCGCCCGTGTCGCCCAAGCCGCCGCCGCCGCCCACGGCACCCAAGCCGGCC